AAGCACTAAGTCTATGTATTTGCTGTTTAGAAAAAAAGGAAATTCTGAAAAAGCTATGTAGTTGGTGTGCTTCTGTATGGATTATATTTTTTAATGATTTAAGTTGCATAAGCTTGGCTTTTATGGCTTATCCTTGTGATCATGAGTTTTTTTCTCAACTTACCAGAAAGAACCAGAGCTCTTGTCTGGAAATGATGTGTTGTGGACATTTGTAAATTTTGCCGGAGAAGACCATACAACCTTCCAAACGCTTGTGGCTTTCTTAAATATGCTGAGTACCTTGGTAAAGAAGATTCTGATTGACTTAAATTTGATATCTTAACTTTGGTCTGCAACTTTTCTTATACTCTGCCATTTCTTGATACTCCTTTGCAGGCTTCTAGTCAAGAAGGTGCTTCTAAGGTTTATGAGTTGCTGCAAGGTAAAGCATTCCGCTCAATTGGGTGGAGCACTTTGTTTGAATGCTTAGCAATTTATGATGATAAATTCAAACAGTCTCTCCAAACTGCTGGAGCGATGTTGCCTGACATTCAGGAGGGGGATGCAAAAGCACTCGTGGCATACTTAAATGTTCTGAAGAAGGTTTAATTTCACCTTTTTTTTATTGTATCAGTTGTATTACACTTACAAGTACACTTTTCATGGCTGAAGTTGAAAGCAATTCATTAATTACAAAAATGAAAGGGGTGTGTTTAATAAAGTGAGAGAAGTTATATTTGCTTATTTTACACATTTGTTCACAGATTATTTTGGAGTAATGCATTTTCGTCCCTGAAAACGTACTTTACTTGCCACTTAGTCGCTGATTTAAATTATATTATGATTCATGCAAGGACTTGAAATATCATTTCACTTGGTTATTTTATGTTGTCCTTATTTATTCTTTTTTTTACAACTGGGATGATAGCAGACTGAAAATGTTGTTAAAAAAAATGGTTGCAACAGTTTGGCTCGTTCACTATTTTTGAGAGTGATCTATCAATTTTCATGGTAAAATAGTATGCTATGTTGAGAAGTGTCTGTGATAGGTGGGACTGTCATTAATATGACTTACTGTGGGGTATAGAATTCTGGGACATAGATTAATTAGGCCTGCGATGTTGAGAAGTGTTCTTTTCCTGCATTAATGCTGAAAAGAACCCATGCTCGATTTTCATGCTGAGTGTTGATCTTGGGCCAATTTGTTCAATCCTGCAAACCAATCGAGCATGGGTTTTTTTCAGGGTTAACAAAAATGGGGGTGGGGGTGAGTATTACAACATTTGGCCTGGAAATTTGGTTGAGCCTTCCTTATTTGGTAACATTATTTGGTGCTCCATTTGGGCGTTAAGTTGATTGGCACCTCTTTAAGGGTTTCATTTGGAGATAATATGCCAGTTTGCCTTCTTCTCCATATAACTTACCCGGTTAAGTTGCTTTCTGTCCCACACGAGGTTATGCTAATTTCCCCTCAATGCTTGCTTTTGTCGGCTAAATTAATTCCTATCTTTTGTATTCGAGCCTGTAATGGTTCTCTTTTACAGGTCTTTCTGTACAGACTCTCAACTAACTGATTTAACTTTGATGGTTGATGAGTTTACTGGATGAGTTGAAGTATAAGAAAGTTTTCTCTAAAATATTTTATTGCCTATTGCTTTTGCATATTGGCTAGACTTTCTTGCTTGAAGTTATCTTATGCTGTCTTCTTTCATTGTTGTATGATACTTTACCTTTTCATTTTTCTTCTAATTGAAAGGAACAACACTTATAACCGTATGTTTGCCTTATATGTACAGGTTGTAGAAAATGGGAATCCAATAGAAAGGAAAAACTGGTTTCCTGATATTGAACCATTGTTCAAGCTTCTTAGTTACGAAAATGTACCCCCATATCTTAAGGTATGATGGCTATATTGCAATGTTTTTTCTGGGAAGTTAAAAGTATGATGGAATTCTTATTTTTGTTGAGAGGTAGGAGTTCCATGGAAATTTTTTGCACTGTTTGTCTGAACAGTATTTGTGGTTGGAGTATAGGGTGCTCTAAGGAATGCAATAGCCACATTTATTCATGTTTCTCCAGTGTTGAAGGATAGCATTTGGACCTATCTTGAACAATATGATCTGCCAGTAGTTGTTGGGGCTGATGTCCAGAATACTCAACAACCGATGGCTACTCAGGTTGGTATATCTGTCTTACAAACAAGTCATAGCTTTTGACCTGCTTAGAAATTATTTCCATAATCACTCTCAATAGCCAACTCTCTTTCAAGCTTAAGCTGTTAAGTGCAACCTCAGGTTTGATTTAAATTCATATATCTATAACACCCCCTCATGTGAAAGACTTCTGTACTTGAACCATGGCATAACACATACTAAGCATAACTTGTGTTGAAACTTAATTTAATTGTTACATGATGCAACGTCTTAGTTCATATGGGTTTTCTGTTGTTTTCTTAGGAGGGTTTGCATAGACTTTCAATTCCATTGTACTTTTATTTTCGGAGCTTGTTGGCTGTTCTTGTTTTTGTTATTCTGTAGTTTTTTGGTGGAGATTTCTTATCCTCCGATGTTGCAGTCCTATCCCTTCTTAATGATTTTTTCTATCATAATGAAGTGGTGATAAATTTAAGTTTCAAACTTGCCTATGTTATATCAAGAGAACCGAAAGCTAGAAACTATGTTTATTCTAAAATTCTAAGTGGGGCTTGAATCCTATATACACATGTATTGAAAGGCTAAAATCTATGTTTGCCTATTTTACAGTACCATTTGTTCACTGTTTTTTTCATTCCATTTTGACTAGTATTATTGTACTTATAAGGTAAAAGTACAGGATATTGAAAATAATTTGATCCACGAAGACATACACTAGTGATAATGGGATATCTCACCCTCCTCTTTTTTTTTCTTTTTTTTTTCTTGTAATGTTAATCATTTTATTTACATATTAATTGGTTCCTCTACTTTTCTCTCACTTTCCCTTCCCCCATTTTTGCTTTCATAATATTTACTCTCCTTTTCTCATGTCCAAGTAAACTTGTAATTCTGGCAGGTTTATGATATGCAATTTGAATTAAACGAAATTGAAGCAAGTAGAGAGCAATATCCTTCAACTATATCTTTCCTTAATTTGATAAATGCTCTTATTGCAGAAGAAAGAGATTTGAGTGATAGAGGGCAAAGGTACTAGTGACTGTATAGTACAATTCCAATCTTTGTTATTGTTTTTGTTTTTTGGTTTAAATTTATTTACCTTTTCTTGCTTGCTCTCTAAAGTCTATTATTTTTATTCTTTTTCCCAGATTTATTGGCATCTTTAGGTTCATATATGATCATGTTTTTGGGCCATTTCCTCAGAGAGCCTATGCAGATCCTTGTGAAAAGTGGCAGTTGGTTGGTGCTTGCCTTCAACATTTTCGCATGTAAGTGGTTTAGATTTCATTGTCTTGGATGGTGCTTTCCTTCAACTGATAATTGGTTTGGCTATTTTTTTTCTTATCTCATTTATCTCACCTGTGTTCAGAGGCTAACAAGCTTTTTTAAACATGTATGATCTATTGACATCTTTAGGTTCATATATGATCACATTTGTTGTTGATTGAAACTGATTTCTTAATTCAAACTATGGACATATGTTCTGGTATGATCTATTGATTATAGATGGAGAATGTTGAATAATTTAGCTTAATACTGCAGGATATTAAACATGTATGATGTCAAGGATGAGGACTTTGAGGGTATAGTTGACCAGTCACGACTTTCCACAATGAAAGAGTCATCACCACTTCAGATGCAACTTCCTGTATTAGAATTGCTTAAAGTATGTGATTTAATACTCTTTATACTTTCTAACCATGTGGCATGTTCTATCCGTTAAATAAAAATGTTATTCTATCCTTGAATTTGAATTTGTAAGCTGTATGCAATATTAGATCTTGTCACTGAAGTTTTTGTCCTGTACTTATGCTTAATGAGAAACAGTATTCTGCACATTTTATTTTTGGGATAAAGAAGCAATATATGGAGGAAAGAAAAATTACAATGAAAATGAAGGGTAAGGAATCCTACCGAACAAAACGGATGAAAAAAAAGCTGAAAATAACCTAGAAAAATGAGAAAATCAATAAAGAAAGCTTCCTAATCCTTCAGGAGCGACCAATGAATAGAGAATGACAAGTTGTAGGATGAAGGACAAGGGTCCTGGGCCTTTGAACATCAAGCTTCATGTCTATCAGTAAATCTCCATTAAAAGGGCCATATGCTTTACATGAAATAGATGGCAAATTCTGAATCCTATCGCAAATGAAGTGGTTGCCGGAGAAACCTCCTTTTAAAAAAATACAAAGTTCGACTCTAACCGAGCCCACCAAATTTTAGCCTCTTCACTCATGCCAAAACCATAAAATATAATAATCATGATTTGGTCCAAGGACCTATGTCACTTCCAGCTTGCATCAAGGGGTTCAATACAGAAACTGCAACAGAACAATGTAAGAATAAATGAGAACATATTCTAAGCAAGCCCTGGAATTTATTATGTTGAGTTTTTTACTGGATCTTTTCTTTTCATGTGTTCTAGTTTTCAATGTTTGTTTAAGTTCCTAAAAAGATATATTTGTTTAACTTTACCAGTTGCTCCACATGCTAAATAATTTGATCGGTTTCAGGATTTCATGAGTGGTAAGACTGCATTTCGGAACGTAATGGGTATTCTTCTACCAGGAGTGAATTCCATCATTGCTGAACGCAATAGTCAAATATATGGGCAGCTTTTGGAGAATGCAGTTCAGCTTTCTCTGGAAATTATAATACTAGTGCTTGAAAAAGATTTGCTTCTTTCTGATTATTGGCGTCCTCTATACCAGGTAACGTACTCAAATTTTCTAAAGAAATAAGTCTCTACTTTGTATTCAAATTATTTATTTGAAGTTGTTTGTTTCATTGTCTTATTTTGTTCATGTGTTTCCCCAAACCTTAATGTTTAGCATTAATTTTTAAAGCAGGCATTCTCATGGTAGTCAGTTACCCTTGTATACATGATTTAGCATTTGTCTGTTAAATGTTAGCATTAAGTTTCTGGTGTCAGTGTCTTGCTAAACATTTTAGTTGAGATCATGATTAATGAGCATGGTGCAATTTTGAACTTTGTTTGAACTATGTTGTAGGCATGTTATATTATACTGTCATTTGATGGGAACTTATCCTTTCACTGAGATGCAATTTCCTTTTTGATAATCTGCTTGCAGCCATTGGATATTATACTCTCCCATGATCACAATCAAATAGTGGCTTTGTTGGAGTATGTCAGATATGATTTTCAGCCAAAAATTCAGCAGTCCTCTATCAAAATCATGAGTATTCTAAGGCACTTTAAATACCTTCCCATTTTATTATTCTTGATTAGTAATTTGGTGAATTTTGCAAACAGGATATCAAGCTTAATGGGTATTTAATATGTTGTTATTTTCGGGTGACAGCTCTCGGATGGTTGGGCTTGTTCAGCTACTGCTAAAATCTAATGCTGCAAACAGCTTGATAGAAGATTATGCAGCCTGCCTTGAGTTGCGGTTAGAAGAATCTCAGACAATTGAAAATAATACTGATGATCCAGGCATTCTTATTATGCAAGTTAGTCTTTGTCTTGCGAACTGTTTGTTTAGGGTTCCTCTTTCCTTGTGTCTAATCTTCCAAAATTACTGTTTGTGTTTCTATATGTTTTCAGCTTTTAATTGACAACATCATCAGGCCAGCTCCAAATGTCACTCATTTACTACTTAAATTTGATCTAGACATGCCTGTTGAGCGAACTGTTTTACAGCCTAAGTTTTATTACAGGTTTTTGTCTGTTATCTGTTGGTACATACTATCTTCATTTTTGTGAGTAGAACTATGTCTTTAATCCTTCTTATATTATCTGCAGTTGCATGAAGGTTATTCTTGATATCCTGGAGAACCTTTTAAAGCCTGATGTGAATGCATTGCTTCATGAATTTGGTTTTCAGGTGAGGTGCAGTTAATCTAGTTCTAGTGCTTAGCAGAGTGCAAACAGTCAGATTTCTTTGCATTGTTTTCCCAGTCATTTGCATTTATGTTTGCAGTTTTTAAAAGAATCTTGATTTGCTTGATGCAGCTACTTTATGAGCTATGCATTGATCCACTAACACGTGAACCTACAATGGATTTGTTGTCAAATAAAAAGTACCATTTCTTTATTAAGGTAAACAATTTTTTCTCTACTTGATGTTGTTACCCTTTTCATTTCAAGTCGTTGTTTATAATTATACCTTGAGAGATTTATCTTTGATTTGTATTCCTTGTTGTTATGCAGCACCTTGATACAATTTGTATTGCTCCACTTCCTAAACGGAATAGTGACCAGCCTCTTCGTATCAGTTCGCTTCATCAGGTTTGTTTGTAAATCATCAATTTCCCTGATTTCTTTCCCGCATATGATTCTGACATCTTTGCACTCAGGGTCTCAGATCTCTTTAGATGTTTTTTAAATTAACTAAAGTAGAAACTTATTCAAAAAACACCTTCAGTTCGGATTTGGTGATGGTAGCATAACATAGTAAACACCTTTCTAATTGGCTTTCAATGATTTTTTTGGGGGAGGGGGTGTAACTGTGTAAGTACAGAAAGGGATACAAACTGACTCTGAATGATTCTTCATTTATAACTTTCTGCACGTTGTATTCATATTCCGATTTTTTATGTTTCTATCTGAATCAATGTTATCAATACCTGGGAAGGATTAATGCATTACTATTAAGTTATACACATATTACGGTTGGGTTTGATATGGGTGTTCTGTTCCCTTGCTTGCCTTTCTCAGAGAGCATGGCTTTTAAAACTTTTAGCTGTTGAACTACATGCTGGTGACGTTAGTAGCTCCACACATAGAGAAGCATGTCAGACAATCCTCTCTCATCTTTTTGGACAAGATATGCTTGAAATTGGTGGAGGCCAGGCTATGTCTCCATTTTCGCTTCAAACTACTTATGAAAATGCTGCTATAAGAACTGTCAGTAAGAGTAAGGTACTGGTAGTTACTGAATGCTTCATGATTCATTTGCTATTATGGCCTTACATATTACAGACATATCTTTGATTTTATAGTTTACTATATACTAAATGCATTGCCATCAATATAGACCTGGTTCCAATTGGTGCATAGATTTGTTTAAGTGTCAAAATCCCCCATTGGTTGAGAATGAGCCTAGAGCAACTTATAATGATTTGGGCAATCACCCCTATATGAGTGAGCTTTTCTAACACCAACTATTCTAATAATATCACTTATACCCGACCTGAACATCAAAATTTCGAAGTGTGGTCTTGAAGAGCTTGAGTTAGGGATTTTAACAGTTTGTTGTCATGTGATAGTGTTCTGAAGCGACCACACCATTGGTCCTTTAGATACAAGAGATGAGATCTCAGTCTCTTGATGAGTAGTATCTTCCTTCATCATGCTGTTGGATCATGATTTCTCTATTCTGTCATCTGATCGGAGTAGGCTTCTCTCATTATTGGAAGGCCTTTACAACCTAAATTATTTGGGTTGTGCATAATACAAGGCTGTATATGTATATTAACAAATTAGATATGTGTTACATTTATGTCATTCCATAAGTCTAAATGAATACATCTTCCTCTCCCATTCCCCAACCTGAAGTAACACAATGATTTTGTTTATAAGCTAGACAAAGTAGTAGAAGAGAGTATGTTGTTTGTCTTCTTTTCAGTCAGATTTTTGTCGCAAGTTTGCTGATCTTCTCATGATAAGCTTTAGAGTTTAAAAAATTTCACACGGTCAGTACATCATCTACATCATCCACCACTGATGTTATTACTTTTATTTTAAAGTCAATAATGGTTAAAACATGAATGGTGGATGATTGTCTGATAGTGTAAGAAACTCTTATAGTGTTTGTGTATAGAATTATAGATATTAAACTCTAAGCTTTAACCGGGAATGAAAATTATCAGATTATGATACATTATACTATGATTGATTGATTGCAAATATGAATAGTTTCTATAATACACTGTTGTCATTATCATTTGGTTTAAAAAATTGCCGTACAGCCATAACTACTTCCATATCTCTTGATTATTATTTAGTCACAGCTGTCTTTTCTCATATCATCTAAATTTATTTCATTAAAATTCAGGTATTAGAATTGCTTGAAATCATCCAGTTTAGATGTCCAGATACTTCTTCTAAGCTCTCAAATATTGTGGCTGGTTTGAAGTATGACTTGCAGGTGAGATACTAGTCCTTTCTTCATCTCCCTCTTTTTCTTAAAGGCTTTATTTCAAATATGGACAGAAGCTTCTGCTGATGCTCAGCCCTTGACTATTTTAATCAATCATCTTATTATTATTATTATTATTTCCTTTTGAATGGATATTTTTCTAGGCAGAAGACATACTTGGAAATCCTGGAAATTCTGGAAAGGGTGGTGTCTACTATTATTCGGAGAGAAATGATCGTCTAATTGACCTTGCTTCCTTCCATGACAAACTTTGCCAGGTTAGTTCACTTCTTTAATACTGTTGATTGATATTTATTTGTAATTTCCTGAGATTTTAGTTTTGAATTTCTCATTTCCTTTAATTAATATAAGATGTTCAATCTAATTTCTTGTTTCAGAAATATAATTCTGCTTATCTCCAGGTATGTAATCTAGGCAGTGAAGTTGAGCTAATTGATGTACGAGAGACAATTCAACAGTTGCTGAGATGGGGGTGGAAATACAATAAAAATCTGGAGGAACAAGCTGCACAGCTACATATGGTTACTGCCTGGTCTCAGATTGTTGAGGTATGGCTCTTCATCCACTTGTTTAATGATCTATTCTCTCCTGCTTTTTTCTGTTCTTTCCGTACATATGATTATGCTCTCTAATGTTGTTCTATTTCTAAAAGGTGTCTGCTTCTAGAAGATTAGCAATGCTTGAAGATCGATCTGAAATTCTATTTCAGTGAGTCTATTGTTATCCATCTTTTGAAAACAACAAAGTAGTCACCTTTGTCATTATGGCTCTTCTCATTATTGTTGTGTTTATTATATCTGTTACACTTTATTGCTAGGGTCCTTGATGCATCTCTTAGTGCTTGTGCATCTCCCGACTGTTCATTGAAGATGGCATTCATATTATCACAGGTAGATAATTAAATTTATCATTACATTTTCAAGACATGTTGATGGAGTCTATTAGAGAACAAGAGTTAGTTAGAAAATGTAAGACAAAGACAGTTAGGCTAAACCATAACTGTTTCTGTTAGTTAGTTAATAGGAGGTAGCTTGCTGAGAACTTTCCCTCCCATAGTAGCTTAGCTAGCACGATTCCTAGGCTTCTATATATATATATATAGATGTACAACCCTTGTAATCAGTCAATTAATTGAATAGAAAGTAATCCCTTTCTCTTTTTCATTCTCTGTAGTCTAGTTTCTCTATTTTACGTGGTATCAATCACCTCCATGGTAAATGCCTCTGATTCCAATCTCCATGTGCATAACTCTCCACCCACTCCGCTTATGCGGCTCCTCTTAAAGTTGTGTCTCCTCCATTCTCACTTCTGCTTCCAACTACAAAGCTCACAAGAGAAAAATTACCTCACATGGAGTCAATTTATGCTTGCAGTTTTGAAGTCAAACGAAGCTCTCCACCCAAAATTTCTCCATGTTTCCTTAGTAGTCTTGACAGGGCTTACAATCATGTAAGTCCTGGTAAGTCCTGGCTATTCTAGCTGGTAAGAACAAGATCAAACTATTTTTTTCCTAGTTGTTGATTTCTATCTCAGAATCCATACAACCTCGAGTTGTTGGCTGCACATACTTCTGATAGTTGTGGAGCATTCTGCAATGCTCACGCCAAGGCACATAGTTGTCAACTTCGTACATTTGCTCAAGGTTCTAGCTCCATCTCTGAATATATAGCAAAATTCAAGGTCATTACTGATTCTCTTATCTCCAGTGGTACTCTTATTTATGTTGTGAGCACATTGACTGTATATTGGGTGGTTTAAGCGAGGAATTTCAATTTGTTGTTACACTGTTCAAAGTCAAGTTATTCCACCATCCATCAATGATCTAGAACAATTTCTCTAAACTATGAATCACGTCTATTGAAGAACTCCACAGGTTTGTTTCACATGCACTTTCGCCAACGTTGCAACTGCACCTTCACCACTGCAATCTCCAGTTTCAGTATCTACACCTGTGACCTTTCCTTCAATGCATTCACAAATTAGGTTGCCTCCTTGTCCTCATCTAGACTATGTGCCGTACCATATATATGGTGGCGTTTATGGTGGTCGTTAAGGGCATCGTGGTGGCCGGTTCACTTGTGGTGGACGTTTTGCAAGGTAGTCCAAAGATTATTTTTTGTGGCTGTTGTAACCGTCACGGTCATGACGTGGCATGGTGCTACTATGAACCATATTATCGTACAATTGGCTCACCATACTCATGCTCTTTGGGTGGACTAGCACACTACCATGCACCCTATGGTTCACAGTACCACTTCTCCATGCCACAACAACCAAGACCTGATGCTTACTGTTATCCTTAGGCTT